ACCAAGTTTGTTTCTTTGGTATTGACTCTTGCAACTCTTGCAATATACCATTTCAGCTGTGGAATCTGGCTACATTTCCTTCAAGATCCTGGACCTGGATCCTACAAAAGACTACGAGAACAAAACATCAGCCGACTATCTGGAACTGACTCAGTTGCTAGAAGAACTGGTCATGAACATCACAAGTGACATCGTCTCTGTGGACCTGTTTGATGTGAGGTAAGAAGACATAAACACTCGGCACGACATTGCTTTGTACCAAATAATCCCTTCAGTAACTGTAAAAGTAATATTTTCAACTGTTCTCTGTTTTCTCCCCAGGCTTCCAGACGCAGGAGTGATCTTCCAAATCACCTTCAACGAGTCGGATAGAGAAAATGTGAACAGAGACATTTTCAGTGAGGCTGCAGACAACCAGCTAGGGCCATTTACGGTAGAAGGAAACGCTACAACCTTTGGGCCGATATGTGAGTTCTTCGATGATATATACCATCACAGGGCATTTAACGTTGGAAAAAAAATACCTGACAAAAATATTTGCTATGTCAACGGAAGATCAGACATCAGTTATTGATGCCATGTTTCAATCTGATTTTTCCTGCAGCCCTACTTGTAGCCTTACCGGAGTGTTCTGACGGCACCAACAACTGCAGTACAAACACAGACTGTGTGGAGGAGTACCTGTACTTCAGCTGCGTGTGTTCAGATGGTTTTGTTTTCAACGGCACAGATTGTGAAGGTATTCTCAAGTCTACAGTAAAATTTTTGACAAACTTTAAAGTGTTGTGATCAATCCTTGAACAGTGACTATGCATTTTCCCGTTGCATGTTTGTTTCTTACACTAATTCTGACTGCATTGTGTCTAATTTCAGCTGTGAAGTCCAACTACATCTCCTTCAAGATTCTGGACCTGGATCCTACAAAAGACTACGAGAACAAAACATCAGTCGACTATCTGGAACTGACAGAGCAGCTGGAGGAACTGGTCAGAAACATCACAGGAGACATCACTTCAGTGAAACTGT